TCCCAGTCTACACACGTGTGAACAAGTAGCCTCACACCCATGCAGTCATAGCTGAGACCCACGTCATGCCTTCCCTACCATGATGGACTGTGCGTTTAAGTTATAGGCCAGAATAAACACCCCCTCCCTTAATTGCTTCTTCTTTGGTATTTGGTCATGGTAATGAAAAATATAACTAATATGAATGAGATTTCAATTCTTTTCCTTTAGTTGTCTTTTTTTTTTTCAGGAATTTCTTTGCTTTGCTAATGCTCATTTAACACATAGAGATTTCTATTGTTAAAATATATGGTCTCAGGGAAAAGCTGAATAATTTTCTAACTATGTGCACATAAGTTGCAATGAACTTGGTCAAGAAATGGTAAATAATAGCTAAGAAGCTGTTTGGGTATTTGATTTTCCTTGACTAGTATTACTGAGATTATGCAGACTTCAGTAGGAACGACACACGGTTGTCTGGCATTTGATAAAATGTTAGACTCCTTTGCCACTTATCTGAACATAATCACTGTGAGTACTACAGCCACCAGTCTGATAAATGACCAGGCTCCTAACTAGTCAGTGAGCAGGTAGCATCCACAGCATGGAAACCCTGGACAAGAGGATGATTCACATTCCTCGTAGGACCTGTTAAGATAATACGAGATTTCCTCTCACAACATAGAAGACTGTGAAATGTCAAACTGATAGGATGTTTGTTTCTGGAAATTTCTATTTAACCTTTTGGCCACATGTAACTGCAACAGTGGATGCCAGACTGCTGATGTATGTGGGAGCTATGGGAACTGAGTCTGACACCTAGCAAGGGTCACCGTGTGGTTCTGGTTGTCTCCTGGGTAATCACCAGGCTTTGCTTCCAAACAGTCTGTCCCTGGGGAGAACTGTGCTTCCGCTCTCTTTCCCACTCTAGTCTCTGCTTTGTTGTTTAAACAGTTAAATAGTTTCTTGAGAACATATGGACGCTTTTCTACTCCATAAGAGCAATGTGTATTAACTCCTATTTTTATTGCATATTTCCATTTTATTTCTTTGGGAACTGTCATGGTATGGATGAAAATGTCCCCCCACCCCCCCACCCCGCAGACTCATGTGTTTGAATACTTAGTCCACTTAGTGGTGAAAGAACAGAAAGGAAAGGGAACTAAAACATTGGCGTTCTTCCATTATCTACAGACCTTCTCTGAGATGCCACTTCTCAAAAAACCCATGATGGCCCAGTAGTACTACCCTGTGGACCAACACTGCAACACATAAGCTTTGGTGGGCATTCAAGATCCATATCTTTTTTTTTTTTTTTTCTTGAGACAGGGTTTCTCTGTGTAGTTTTAGTGCCTGTCCTGGATCTCGCTCTGTAGACCAGGCTGGCCTCAAACTCACAGAGATCCACCTGGCTCTGCCTCCTGAATGTTGGGATTAAAGGCGTGCACCACCACCACCCGGCCAAGATCCATATCTTAACCTGCTGCCCCAGATCCCATAGGTTCATGTCCACATCCCAATACAAAATGTAGTCATGCCATCTCAAGCATCAAAAAGTCTCAGTTGTCCTAGCATTGCTGAAATGTCCAAATCCAAAGTCTGCTTTGAAACCAGAGAAAAACTAACTATAAACGATCATGAAAACTAAAAAACAAACATTATGCATTCCCACAATGCAGCAGTGACACAGTACAGAACACATATTCCCACTGAAAAGGAAGGAACAGATAAATACAAAAGAAATACAGGCCCCAAATAAAGCCAAAGCCAAAACAAGCAAGCATTCATTTCTATATTTCCATGTCAGGCATCCAGAGCATCCTGTGATTTTGGATGTCAACTCTCCCTGGCTTAGATAACCCTGCACCCTGTGTCCTTGTTGAGGGCAGCTGACATGACCACTCTGTTGAGCTGGACAGGTGTTGTACACTTCTGGTCTCTCTATCTTCCTGGGATCTCCACGGCATTCTCAACTCTCTCATCAGTCCTACACAAGGATTGCTTGCAGAGAGACCTGTGCCTCACAACATGTAGCCTGTTTTTCCAGGCTTTCCTTTGAGATCATGATGGACACCTCCCTGACCCTGCCACTCCAGTAAGTGTCTTTCTCAAGCCCCCAAAGAAATCAGAAGCCATGTTAAAGATGTCTAAACACTTAATGTCAGAGAATTCTCCTGTCTTTGATCTGGTCTAAACTGTTGAATAATTCTAAAGAGATCCATCTTTGTAGGAATCTCAGGCTGTCCTCTGGCCACCCACTTTGTCTACTGAAAAATTCTATAGCAGAAACTCAAGTGTGTATTTTCAAGTTATAGAATCTACCCTATATACAATTCCTTCAAGTACCTAGAGAAAGTAAATAATACTCAGTTCCATAATATGAAAAAGTTTGTCACATTCAGGAATAGCCTGGGTCTACTTAAAGTTTGTTTAAACAACTAAACACAAAGATTAAAATAAGGACCACCAAAATAGCCCCTAGAAACATTCCCAAAGGCATAATAAAATCAATAATGAAACACTGAATGACAGAAATATTAGCAATGACAACAAGAAAAGGTGGTTTTATGCAAATGTGTTCCTCAAAGGTTGGTTTGCATAGCTCTTGATCCATCTAAAACAAAAGGGAGAGAGGGATTTTAGTAATTCTCCCAAGCTAATAGTTTCCTCCAGGCTCTTCTGGGTGCTCTCTGTGTCTCTGTAACCTGAACGTGTTCCTTAGAGAAAGCCTTTGCTTGCTGTATTTTTTGTAGACTGATTGTGTTACCTGTTGGAGTGTGCATGAGTGCAGACACCCATTGAATCAATCCTGAGACACACTGCAAGGTTTATTAAAAATTAATTTGTAACCACTTGACAGCCTCTCTGTTGAGGATATACCCTGAGATTCATTTCTACATTAATTCTCATTTGTAAACTACATTCGTCTTTCCTGGAGGCAAGAATAGATTGGGGAATCTAATGTGTTTGTGATTTAATGGACTTTATTATGAAGAGAAACTGTGTACAGGATTGTAGCAGGTCAGAGAGCACAGTCCCAGAGAGAGAGGAGGAAACGAAAATTAGAATGCAGTCGACCCTGAACTCAACTCTTTCACCACAGTAGAGGGAATAGTGACAGGCAGGGAGCTCACACAGAGTAGAGCAAACTCAAAGCCGCCTGGTGATGCTGAGCCTCCATGAGTGTGCTGGGCTCCTCTTAAAGGCACAGGATAAGTTGCACGTGCCAGATTTAAAGATGGACGTTTCAACACCCTGAGAAACTGTGAGAAAGTGAATAACCATCCTAGATGCCCACCTAAAGCACAGTGAACAGTAGTATGGAGTGACATGTGTCTCGTCCCTTAGCACGAGTCTCAGGAAGCACCAAGGCTTTACTTCCGTGACCCAGCTGGGGGAGGAATGAAGAAAGATGGTATCAGGTTGTGAAGGATCCATGAGAAATGCAAGATCATAAAACAAAGAATTGTGACTAAACATCATGGACGCTCTGTGTGCCTTGGAAAAGTGGACAAGCAAAAGCAGCTTTAGAAGAAAGGGGGCTGGCTCAGTGAATAAAGGTGCTTGCTGCTAACACTGACCAACCTGAGTTCAATACCTATGCCAGGAAGGAGAGAAGCAACTCCTGGAAGTTGCCCTTTGATGAGCTAAACCCACACAAATAAGGACCCCAAATGGTGAGGTGTTGGTGGGGAGGACCAGGCATGAGAAATAAAGAAGACAAAATCAAAAGCTAGAAGCTAGAGGTCTTACATAAATTTGATGGCTTATGTCAAGTGAGTTTATGAAGTAGTACAGCATTTTATATATCGTTTGTAAAAGAGAGATAGGCTAAGATCAGCAGAAAGCTAAATCAAACATTGTGGGCAAATAGAACACAGGATACCTCAGACACAGCTGCCTTAGGACTGATAACCACAGCCCTTCAGAGGAGAAAACCACATTCCCAGGAACCAAAACCTTATCATCTTGAGGCCCTGGCCCTAGCCCCAGCCCCAGCTACAGAACAGACCTTGTAAAATCTGCCCCTGGGCGCGGACACAGAATGAGTGTTCTCTTTGTCCTCTCATCAGCCCTCTGAGAAATCCTGGGGTCAGTCTGGGTCCCCACACTCTGACCTCCACAAGTGTGTGCACACAAGATAAATAAATATGGAATAAAAACCTTAAGTAGCTTCGGTTTAAAGCCCGAGGTTTCATCATTTAGAAAGGACTCTGCAGCAGTGTGGTTTGAATAGATAGAGCCCCTATGGATTCATGTGTCTGAATGTTTGGTCTATAAGGAGTGGCACTATTAGAAGGTGTGGCCTTATTGGTAAAGGTGTGGCCTTGTTGGAGGAAGTGTGTCACTGGGAGGGCAGGCTTTGAGGTTTCATATGCTCAAGCTATGCCCAGTGTGGGACACAGTTCACTTCCTGCTGCCTGTGGACCAAGATGTAGAACTCTCAGTTCTTTCTCCAGTACCATGTCTGCCATGCTTCTCGCCATGGTGATAATGGATAAGAGTTGCCATGGTCATGGTGTCTCTCCATAGCAACAGAAACCCTAACTAAGACACTTCCCATTCAGGTCATTGTGTTGGGATATAAAAAGGAAATCAGTTGAAACCCTATGACTGTAATCAGTGTGGTAAAGCCTTTGCTCTACATAGTTCTCTTCAATTGCATGAGAGAACACATACAGGAGAGAAACCCTATGAATGTAATCAATGTGGTAAAGCCTTTGCACGATTCAGTCATCTTCAAGTACATAAAAGAACACATACTGGAGAGAAACCCTATGAATGTAATCAGTATGGTAAAGCCTTTGCTCAACATAGTGCTCTTCAATTGCATGAAAGAAAACATACAGGAGAGAAACCCTATGAATGTAAGCAATGTGGTAAAGCCTTTGCACATAACAGTCATCGTCAAGTCCATAAAAGAACACATACTGGAGAGAAACTCTATGAATGTAGTCAGTGTGGTAAAGCCTTTGCTCGACATAGTGCTCTTCAATTGCATGAAAGAACACATACAGGAGAGTTACCTGATCTCCTGTCGGAATCTGGCACAGGTAACATATTTTATTTGTTGTAAAATTGTTAGTTCTCTAACCACAAGAGAAAACAGCATATGATAGCCCTGATTGTTCCCTGGGCTGAAGACACAGTGAGCCCCTGAGTTTAGTAACACTTGTGTTAGTAACTTATATCATTGTTCTGGCCAAACACTTGACCAGAATGAACTCAAGGAGGAAGGATTGATTTGGACTCACAGTTTGAGTGTACAGAATCATGACAGAGAAGGGGCTACAGATACAGCCTGTGTCTATGGCAGTTACTTTCTTTCTCCTATCCCCAAGGACTAAGAAATAAAGAAAAGGGACAGGCAAGGTCAGATGGAAACCTTGGGGTCTACCCTCCAGAGCCTATGTCCTCCATCAGACACACACACACACACACACACACACACACACACACACACACACACACCAGTTCCACAACTCTCGCCCCCAAACAGCAGCACCACCTGTGGACCATGTGTTCAAACACATGAGCCTGTGGGGGACATTTTCCATCTGATTGCTCTTGTATACTGGAAAAGAGTTATACACACTTAAGAAACTATTTAGCTATCTAAACAATAAAGCAAAGACTAGTGTAGAAAGAGAGAACAGCAGCACTGTTCTCTTCAGGATCAGATGTCTGCTGGGAAACAAATCCCCAGTGGTTCCCCAGAAGAAGGCAACTAGAAACCACATGGTGACCCTTGGCTGGTGTCAGACTCAGTTCCACCACCATGGTGTAGCTCTGCCCACACCAACAGTCTGGCATCCACTGTTGCAGATATATGTAGCCAAAAAATTAACTGGAAAAACAAAAGTTTCTGTGAGTTTTACATTTCACAGGCTTCCTAAGCTATGAGATGAAATCTCAGGCTCTCTTACCAGTTCCTACTGGAAATGTAAATCATCCATTTGTCCATCGTTTCCATTTTGTATAGGCTACCCACTCACTGACTAGTCAGGAGCCTGCTCATTTATCAGACTGATGGCTGTAGTACAATAGTGATTGTGTATAAAAAACTGAAAATGCGTTCTAACATTGCATTAAATGTCTTTCATTTACTACCTCACATTTCCTCATCCAGGCACAGGATCCTAGCATCATGACAAGAAGGTTGAGTAAGGGTCAGAGAGATTGCTCACTGGGTAAAAGTGCTTACCTCCAAGCCTGACTACTTGAGTTCAATTCCTATAATCCACATGGCTGAAGAGATATTTGACCCCAGCATTTTCCCTTTGACCTTCACATGTGTTATAGTGTGCATCACACACCCCACCATCACCACCACTACCACATACACACAATAAATATTTAGAAATTGTAAAGGGTGAATGTAGTCCAAAATCCATTTTGAAGGCTATGTTCACAGGGCTTTCATCACAATACAATATTTCAACTGCTCCTTTCTATTATTGTTTTGTCCATCTCTTGTGCCTACTGTAGTAGTTAAGCTTTGTCCTAGACGTGTACATGTAGAGTTTAAATTGTACTTATGTGATCAGCTCTACCTGTAGTTTCAGGCATCCTCTGAGGGCCTTGAATATCATCCATGAACATGGGCCTATGTCTATCTAAATTCAATGCAATGTTCTAGTTGAGTTATAGAACCAGAAGAAATCCTGGTAAAATCTATAATTTATGTAATAGTGTAAGCCAGTATCAATTTCTTAGCTGTGACAAAAGGATCATCATTATACAAAAGGCTGATGTTAAAGGAAGCTAGGAGATGAGTATATAGGAAGTTATGGCTACTCTTTCCCAGTTTGGGCAAATGTAAAATTATCAAGAGAGAGAGGGCTACATCATATGAGGGCACTTAAAAGGAGTTGGTCACAGGCTCTCCATTCCAATGAGAACTTGGAGCACCAGACTGGCTAATGGCCACAACAGTCAGAGAGATCCAATTATTCCACACAGAGTAAGGCTCCTTGCCATAGACACTGCCATCTAAAGTAAGTCTATACCTCCTTGGTCCTCCTCATCAGGCAACCTGACCTCAGTTAAGGATAGTGGAGTTGGTCTGAGCACCACCATTTCCCTTCAGCCCAACCTGCAACCCTTCAAGTGCAGACCAACCTCAGCCCTTAAAGTGAGTATGGGCACACTGAACACCAAATACACACAGTGATGGGTGAGCAAGAGGAAAACATGTACATGATCAGACTCAGCTGTTACAGGGAAAAGAAGACATTAAAACGTGCCACCTCATAAGCAGAGATACCAAAAGGGACAATAAAAATGTCTAATTCTTTTTGTCAGACACATTCCAGAGAACTTTCTACTTATAGACCAAAATCAAGTACTCATGAAGTAAGGTAGACTAAAAGGCAGCACACATGGCCAAGCCAATCAAGAGCAAATACCCATGGAACAGATACATCACAAGCAACACTTGTGAAACAAGGTGGACCAAGGGCAAGCACTCATGGAGCAAGATGAACCAAGAGCAAGCACTCATAGAACAAGGAGGACCAAGAGCAAGCACTCATGGAGCAAGGTGGACCAAGAGCAAGCACTCATAGAGCAAGGTGGACCAAGAGCAAGCACTCATAGAGCAAGGTGGACCAAGAGCAACACCCATAGAACAAGGTGGACAAAGAGCAAGCACTCATGGAGCAAGGTGGACCAAGAGCAAGCACTCATAGAGCAAGGTGGACCAAGAGCAAGCACTCATGGAGCAAGAAAAAATTGGATGTTGACGAGCACTGTTGGAAGGTGAATAACATAAATGCAAAAAATGTTTCAGGAGAAATGGTGAATGACAGATGGAGTATTTCGGGATTTGACCCAGTAAATTAAAATATAAACATGAGAAATTCTCTATGAATGTGGAAGAGAGGTGTAATTATGATGTCTTAGAGGTTGTAACAACACAAGTTATCAAGTATCCACATGAGTACTCCTGTCTCCTTACATCCTTTTTATGAATATGGTGAGTTTTGAAAACAGCAGTACTATTTTCTCCCTAAGGATGTTATCCTTGTTTACACAGTCTACTATCTCTAACAATATCCTTCAGAATCAATCGGTGGGCCGGGGATGTGGCTCAGTTGACGCACAGAGCTCCAGGTACCATCCCCAGCACCATATAAACCCAGGTGTGGTGACACCCACCTATAATCCCAGAACTGCCAAGATGGAGGTGGGAGGATCAGGTCATTCTGGGTGGGTTACATAGTAAACCTAAGATCAGGCCATTGCACCTGAAATCTAGTCTCAAAAAATTCATTTTTTATAAAAATGTATCTTAGCTTGGTTATCATTTTTCCTTCTGTTACAGATAGAAATAAAGGCTGACACACAGGGGAAGTGTACAGAATAGTGTAATGCACTCAGATTGTGTGTTTATATGTACACACAAAAATACAACACAGGTATGTATCTGTAATGTGTATATAAATCTATATGGGTCACTGCTTTTCTTCTGTTGACTACATGTGTTAACAAATGTAGATGTGCCATGTACATGGATGAATAGCTACTGTGCCATGTCTCCAGCACAATTCCAAAAAGATTTAATTATGTTATGTGTATTTGTGCATGAGTGCACTGCCCTCAGAAGCCAGAGGGGGCATCAGGTCCCACTGGAGCTGGAGTTGCAGGTGCTTGTGAACTGTCTTGAGATGGGTACTGGGAACTGAACTCACTTAACCGTTGAGCCATCTCCCCAGCCCTACTTTACAGTATTTGTAAATGTGTATTATACATATACATGCACAGTTAGTATTAAAAATATAGAAATATTTTACTATCAAGTCTCTCTGGGAACTGAGGCTCAATGTATTTGTATTTCTTTTTGCTCTTTTATTTTTAATTTCTAATTTCATTACAATACATATGTCTTTTTAAAAACAGGATCTTATAGATTCTCAGCTGGCCTCAAACTTGTTATTTGGCCAAAGATGACCTTGAAGTTCTGACCTTCCTGCTGCTTGCTACCTCCCGAGTACTGGAATGACACTTGTACATCATCACAACGAGTTTATGTGATGGTGGAGACAAACCAAATGCTTAATGTATTCTACAACTAAACTACACCCTCACCCCCCCACACACACACACACAAACATAGCAGCTATATAAATTTGCTTTAGGAATACAAAGTGTTCAAAGGTACAAACAACATGTGTAAAAGGCCAGACTCACTGGTGTCCTGGTATGTCTGGTTGTGACAGTCGGGCCGACCCACCCTCCCTTACGCTGAAAGGTGGAAAGAAGAGGAGGAGAAGCTGAGCCTTCCCGTATCCTTTTCAGTGCAACTTCTTCCTTTCCTCTTGACACGGGCTCATTAGGCTGCTGTCTAGAAGTAAGCAAACATTTTTGTTCCTGCCACTTTATCTTTCCTTCCCACTTCAGGCATCACAGGAACTAAGATTTAAGAGTTGCTGGGTGTCATGCGTTGTTTTCTTGAGTGTCCCCCTCCACCCCTGAGTTCTGCTGTTCTGATCATATCCAGCAGGGCCTCTCAAAGACGTCTTATATAATTCAAAAGCCTTATGGGACTAGAACGTCAACACAGCTCCTCCGTAAGCCCTCAGCAAACCAGTGTCGAACACGCTGGCGCTGCGGGGTGGAGAGTAAATGATTTTTACATGTTGTGTGGCTTTTATTCCTTAACAAAAGCGAGGAGAGGAGACCATTTCCTCCCCCTCCCTTCTCCCTCTCCCCCGACATTTTTCTCTTTCTTCTGCCTCTAGTGCCCTTGAAAGCTGCACTGAACCTGACAAAGGATAAACTTGCAGGGAGTGAGAGAAACCAAAGATGCCAAGGGGTTCCAACTCCCTCCCTGAAAATCTGTTTAGACAGCACCTGGGTCAGCCTCCCCTGATAGGGCTTTACTCTGTGTGTTATTGTGTTGGTGTCATGAGCGGGGAAGAAAGGCCAGCATCCCTTGCTGTGGAGTGCTGCTCTATACAATCCCAGCGCCTCCACGGTCCTCTGGAAGCCGCATTTTGTTGGAAGGGACGGCCTTTCCAGTTTCATCTGTGATCACCCAGAACAGTCTCCCTTTGTTCACAGAGCGACCTTTCCATTTGAGGAAGGGTGAGACGTGTCTTGAAACCTAAACTAACTTTGGCAAAGAGGTCTTTAACAACAACAACAAAATAAAAAGGAACAGAGACCTCCACGCACAAAAATAAATACCGCCGGTTTCATTGTGATGCATGGCATGCTTCTCTTTGCATTCTGTTTGGGGATTACAAAGGACAATGCCAGTGTTCAGAAATGAATGCAACATCACAGGCTGGAGCCTCCCTGGGGTACTGTGGCAGTCCAAGCCTGGCCTTAGAGTTATTTTTATTTCTTGGAAGAGGGCTGGGTTGAGAGGGAGTCTTTCAATCCTGCCAACATCAAGTGGTTTCAAGAGTGAGCAGCTGGACTGTCACCTTGGGAGGGAAGGAGCAGAGCAGTTTGGCTCTGAGACCTGACCCTGAGGACAGCAAGCTCACCAGCATATCACATACATAGAAGAGAAACTCCAGGACTTCCCAGGAGAATGGCCTCATGCTGAAGCTCTACTTTAAAGGAGAGAAAAAAATGTGCTCAAAACGGGGAATCGGGACCCTACTAAACAATGGAGGACCCCATCCTTTTCCGACAGTCCACACCACTGCCATCAGACACCCTGCATACTCACATGCAGTGAGATCCAGGCAGAGACGAACACAAACTGGATGTGGATGGGTGCTCAAAGTGGGGGACTTTCCAGGTCTTCAGCTGTGACAGTTGAAATGGCAGCTACAAGTCTGAAACCCATGTTCCTACCCTTGTTCCCTGCAGGGCAGATCTCAAAGGTCACCCCATTCTAGGATATGACCCTAAGATAGGTTTGCTTCTTCTCAGGAGCTTAAGGAGACAACTTGGTGAGCACCCTACAGGTTAAAATGAAATATTCTACTGAGGAGTTAAAAATGTGTATTGAGATTGCTAGTCAAAGGAAAAATAAATAAATCAAGATGGCTGTATAAAACCATTCCTGTGTATAATAGAGAATTCTGAATAGCATTGAGAGCATGCATTGTTAGACTTTTTTCCACCTCAAATGAGCAAATTCTACCACATGAAGAAGAGCATGCCTAAAAATATAATTTTTTTGTTAAATTCCACAGTTCTCTGTGAATCTAGAACTATTTGGTGTCTAAAAAATACCAAAAAAAAAATAAAAAATAAAAAAAGTTAAATCAACATGACAGGTAACCATCAAAGTTCAAATATTGTAAGAATTGTAAAGTTAAGTATAGAACTCATGTGCTCCATAATGGACATCACTGTGGCTTCTAAAAGTACCCTGGGGAGGGATCTTGGCCAGTACATGCAGACAAGAGCAGAGAGAGTCCCCAGGTTATGGGGTAATGGGCATGATGGTCCATGCCAGGGAGTGGTATTCGTTCTTCTCACCCAGGCTTTACCTAGGGCCTGGAGAAAGATGAAGGAGTGGGGCTTCTACGGGATGATGGAACTCAAGGACTCAAGGCAACGTTATTGAGTGTCTGCTCAAGGACCCAAGGAGTCACCTCTTTCAATACTTTTCAAAACAACTTACTTGAAAAATCAAAGAGATGCAAAGAGCCCCAGTTACTGCAGTTGGATCCTTCTGAGCAACCATCTAAATGAGAGGGGTCTGCATTATAACCCAAAGCATAACCTAAGCAGCACGAATCTCCATGGACATAAACAAATGGTTATACAAACAAACAAAAAAAAAGGAGGATCGCTAAATCTTCCATGTAGAAGCACCCCAAATAGTGTAGGGGGGACTCCCTGCTCCTGAAAAGTAGCTCTCTGTATTGACTTCCTTCCAAGGAGCACACTATGAAGCAGCATGCAGTGATGGATTTCTTGGTGGGAAGACAGGACAGACACTACCTACTACCTCAGCCAGGCAATTAGTGTCATCACCCACAGGACTGAGTAAGGCTGGCAGCATGGACAGACAGCTTCACATGTTACAATAAAAAACGGCAAATGGCCTCCTCTTATCCTTTCCCCCAAATCGGTTAACCCAGTGTGACCATGAGAAAAATCATCTGATAAATCTCAATTGAAGGTTGGCAAGACAGCTCAGCAGGTTGAGGCACTTGTCACCAAGCCTGACAAGGTGACCTCTGCAAATTGTCCTCTGACCTCTACATGCACATTTTGGCGAACACAAATACAGAAACATATGCACAAATAAATAAATTTAATTTAATTTTTTTAAATCTCAGTTCAGACGTGATCTGGAATATATCTGATCAGTACCATTCACAAGCAAGGACTGTGGTGACTGTGACAGTCTAGTGGAGATCTATGACACTTGAGTGTGCTGTAATACCCTAGATGTAGTCTGGTACAGATGAGGGGACTTGTCCTGGGTAAAAAGAGAGGAAACCAAATGGCACATGTTGGTCAATGTTTTTAAATGACTTTGATAGAGCCCCAAAGCAAGATTTCTTGTATTCACTTCAACTATTTCCATTTCAGAGGAGCTTCTAGCTTGTTTGGTTGCATAACTCCTTTTGATGAGAGGGTTTTGTGGCTGAATTACCATTTCTGTGAAGCCACTGTACACACAGAGAATGAGAGACCACATCCAACTGGTGAAGGAAGGGCTGACTTCCAGTTTGGGAGATTCTCACCACGGCTAAATATTATTACTTAATTTTTTCAGATAGAGAAGCAAAAGCCCCTTCTAATAATTTTAATGTAAGTGCCTGATTACGCATTTAAGTCTTCCATTGGGGGCATTTCTTGTCCTGGTTGTTGAATTGCTTGTGCTAGGCCGTGTTCCTTTTTCTTCCGTTCATTTGCATTAGCTCATATTTTTAGAAGACTTTTTATGTTTCAGTGAAGATTAAGCTATTATATATGCTGCAGTTTTTCAGAAAATATTTTAGCATTTGGATATTGAATTTTACACATAATTACAACATTTTGTCTATGTGTTTTATTTTTATTTATCTGTGTAGTTCGTTAGCAAGCTACGTTTTTATAATACGGAGCTGATCTATTAAACTTTGCCTTGGGGGTTTCTGTCTTTGATCTAGGTTTAAAACCAATCAATAATAGAAATTCCCTATCATATATATTGTTGTAGGCTCCTTATAAGGGGCAGGAAGAACGGCTGGGGTGATGGATAGAGAGGCAGCAATGTGGGCAGAGGGCAGAGAAGGGTGGGCGAGGGAGGGGAAAGAGGATGCAGTTTTGAAAACAATATGGCTAAGTAATGCAGAGGGCCTCCAAGAGACCAAAAAGGTAGGGAAATTCCAGAAGGAGCATATAAATATATGATCCTCAAAAGCCGCAGCCAGCTTCTTACCTCAGAACCATGAGGTAATAAATTTGTGTTAAGTCGCTAACTTCTTGGTAATCTGATTGAGGAAAA